GATAGCCTCTTCCTGTCTTAATTATCCTGTCTAATAAAGTTTTGACAGAGGAAAATAGAAATAGTATGATATTTAGGTCATTGCTGACACACCATGCCAAACAAACTGGTTGAAATCGGTGTGCCCATGCAAAGGATCAGTAATCACTGAAAAACGACTGGCATGTCAAGCGTGGACAGATGTGCTGCTGTTCCTGCAGCTGGAGGAGTTTCATAGAGACACAGAACCACTAAGGCTGGAAAAGAATACTAAGATGGTCTAGTCCAACACAACTCATCCCCACCATGCCACTGATCACGTCCCTCAGTGCCACATCTCCATGGTTCTTGAGCACCTCCAGGGTTGGTGACTCCACCACCACTCTGAGAAGCCTTTGACAGTTCCTCATCACTCCATCTGGGAGTAAGTTTATCCTAATATCTGACCTGGGGTATTCAGGTGGGTGGTTCCTCTCCCATGGAGGTGAAGCTGCTCACTGAGCACTCCAGCCCACTTCACTGCTCAATCAACCACATTGGCTTGAATCATCACTAAAGAACAAAGCATCTGTCTCCTAATGGTAATTAATAGTTGTTTTCTTCTATATTGCTTTTAATTTACAGAGCTTCTGTCATGGTTGAACTATTCTGTATGTTATTCATTAGCTGATCATATGTCACTGCTAATTTTTTTCAAATGGATTCACTATTTATAAATGTTCACCAGTTTGCGCCGACACATGAGGAAAAGGAGGGACATCTTTATGCCATATACATTAAGTCTTCAGTCTAGATGTTTGCAGTTCTCCCTTGGACAGGCTGACCTCTCTCTTGTTTACCAAGGATACACCATGAGTTACTAAAGCAATTTGTATGGCATCCACTTGTGCACAGTCCCTAAACCAAATGGTTTGAGACTCATTACCTCAAACTACTACAACCATCTAATGAGTCCATTCACTTTTGGCTGTGCAGTGGTTGAGTTAGTCATACGAATAGGTACTGCTCCCCAGTTGATGGAGAGTTTTCATGTAGGAAAAAATAAATGAACTTTTGAGTACAAATTTTGGGGTGAATAAATTTCATGCTAAAAATTACTGGCTTGTTTTAGAGTTCAGAAATGTCAAACAAGATGTTCAGCAGCTGCCCAGCTTAAAAAAACAAGATACATCTCCCTTCTGCCTTTCACAAAGTAGTCTCATTACTTTTGGTACTATTAAGCCAGCTTGGCTAGTAGTTGAATTGAATTTTTCTTTTTGTTGGTACAACCTCAGCGCTAATTAAACATTTATAACTTCTCATAGTTAGGCACAATACAAGTCACCCTGGCTGAGACCTCTGCTCACAGAAAATCAACGTTTGATGTTGGAAAGACAGAATGGAAGCACCATGTTAAAGCATGTCCTCACTATCCAAACAGACCCTATTGTTACAGATATGGCCAGTAATATCCTGTTTGTCACTGGGATTACACTTTGGTTCTCCTGCCCTAGAAATAGCCACTTTGTTTGTGGCAAAACCCTTTCAGTGTGGGACTTGGGTTTTCAACAAAGGTAAGGAAACCTCAGTGTTCTGGCATCCAGCTAAACTTCTTCAGAATGTCTTGAGAAGTAAACAGACTCGTAAACTTCCCTACGTTCAACAGAAGAGCCCAGTTTTGTATCCAAATAACAGTTTTGCCTTCCCCATCTGTCTGGCATTACCTCAGACTCTGCTCTGTATCCATCTCATCCCAGCCCTGGCAACAGGCCTCGAACAAATTCATTTTTGTGGACTGTGGGTGAAATCTGTGGCCGAATATTATTAGCGTGGAGCTAATAACTGGTTTGGACTTCTGTACAGAGCAGCTGCAGGCACAGCAAAACATCAGCAGGCTCTCATCCCAGGCATTGCCATGTTCAAGCCGCGTGCATCCTCAAGGACACCCTGTTGTTACACTTATCTGCACCATAAAAACCTACCCCAGGCCTACAGCTATAAGGATGCAGTGGAACTTGGCAAATAGATGCAGTTGGTGCTGCGGGGCCGTGAACAGTTAACGCCTTGGCCACGACCACGGTGCATCTGGAGCTTTTCCCAATTCTGGGCTGGATAGCATCGCTGTCTCCCCCCAGCTGCCAGAGTTGCGGCAGTGAGAAACTGCTCTGAGATCACAATTGGAATCCTCAATTTTTAATGCTTCCCCCCACCGCTATTTTTTTCCATTAGAAAGAAGGAAATTGGTAAATGCCCTGGGACTCACAACCAAGCTGTGACCTGGAGAGGCAAATGGAAGCACTTGCCGCTGGTAATAATGGGCTGGGTGAAAAAACTTCATTGGGAAGCACAGCCCTGCAGAAACCTGCAGCAGCTAATTGCTTTTGAGCAGCTTCAGCACAGGCCATCTGAAACAAATAGTTTCAGCTGTAACAAACGGTTTCAACACATTTGGGAAAGGTAAAATGGTTGGGTTTTGATAGGGGCAGATAAAGTTGTGTAGTAGGGTAAATTTAAAGGGGATTTTCCAGTATCTCAGCTATTCTCCAGGATATGTCAATGTCCAAAATCTTTCTGTGCACCATCCCTATTATTTCTGTGCCACCTCTTCTTGTGACCATGGGTTGCCAGGTGCTTTGCAGTAGAAAGGTCCATAGCCACAAAGGATTCCAACAGCTGTGAGCTCAGGTAATTTTGCCCCACATGAGTACTTCCCTCTCCCAGTGCATACAGTATATTAAAGTATTTTAATAGGTTATATTATATTTTATGCCACATAATGTCTTTTATACAATCATTAAGGTTGGAAAGATAGCTAAGATCATCTAGTCCAACCATCAACCCATGCCTGCAACTGCATGTTATATTAGTGGATCTATGTGTGTGTGTGTGCTTTTAAAGGCACTCTGCTCTGGAAGTCATTTCCACTGCTCAGTTTTTTGTACTGCTTTGTAGTGAAATGGGATTTCTCAAAAAATGTAAAATTCCATTTTTGAGCACTGCACATTTTGGCCACTGGCTCTGGTCAGGGTTTGTCTCAGAATAGTATGTTAATATGCAGAGCTATTTTTTCTCGTATCTTTCTGAACTTTGCTATCAAGAACTTTTTTAGCTTATGTTTATGTGCTATCACAGTTTAGAAGGCAAATAAGAGCAGCTGGAGATCTTTTAGAGGACTAAATCTTCAAAGCCTGAAACTGTAGCTTGATTTAAAGGCCGAACACTTTTACCCGTTACCCTAAGGAAAGTGACACTCTCCATCTGCCTGTCTTTCTCTCAGCAACTTCTGAACCCACTGGCAATTTCTACCATTTCTGACAGAGAGGAGACAAAATCAAGTTATGTTCCAGCAAGTTACCAGTTAGGGACATGCCTGGTGCTCCCATGCAGGCTGGCATCAGCACCTGGATATGCACACAACCCCCATGCTCATACCAAAGCCACCCAACCTACAGGTCAGTGGCTGGGGCCAGCTGCCATATGAGTTTTGCCACATGCAGAGGAATTTACAGGTCTTGGCAGACTGCAGAGGGTGCTCGGAGTGATGTACTGCTGTATGGCAAAGCCTTAAGGGACAAACAGAACTCCGTTTATTATGGGAAAGTATATGGCTGATATCACATTGTGGGACATAAATCTGTGCAGTCTTGCCTACGGCTTTTCCCTTGTGGAAATGCTCATTTACACCATGAAGTGTTCTTCCCTATACCACCTCTGGGTAAAGGCTTTTTCTAGAATGGTTCTTTGATCTGTCTGGAGGGAATAATAGAGAAAGGAGAGCATTGCTTGCATTAGAAGTGACACTGCCCACTCTTGTGGAGAAAAAGGTCTTCACATTTCCACGGATCAGATTCTGCAATTACACAGCTTTCTTGTTTGGCCAGTTCATCTGCTAAACCTGACACAGAGCCAGAATGAAAACAGAGATTTTCCCATTACAGAACACCAAATCTATGATAAGCCACGCCATGAAAATTCAGTTTTTAAGGAGGTGGAGAGAGAATGAAGGAAACTCCAGCTGCTGCTGCTGCACAAAAAGCCATGAGTTTTGCAGCGTTAAAATCTGTTTTTGGAGGGGATCTTAAAAACAACAGCTATAAGCCAAAGGAGCAGGGAGATTAGATGAACAGCAGGATCTGGGATAGGGAAACTTAAGCAGTAGTTTGAGCAACAGTTTTATGCTGTCACACCATCTGGGTGGTAACTTTGGACACAGCTGGGTAAAGTAATTGCTCAGGATAGAGGCCTGTGAATGTGGTACTTCATCTGTGGGTCCTTTTTGCACAGTGATGCAGTGAACGTCATCTATGATCTTTGTTAGGTTTGTTTTTTTTTTTTCTTAAATGAAAAATTCCTTCTCCATAAAGCACTCAAACCAATCACCCCTTCTGCTTCCCCCACCTCCAAGTTATAGCATTAAATCCTATTTATAGATGGAACAACAAATTGTCTCTGAAAGGAGAACTGCATTTTGACATCACTCAGAGATGCACTGCTTTTCTTAGAGATTACTCCCTAAATAGGATATAAATATTATAACGCAGACACCTTTTGCCATGAAGCAGAAAGAGTATATGTAGTACTTTGGGGCATGGTTTAGTGGGTGATATTGGTGGTAGGTGCACGGTTGGACTAGATGAGCTTAGAGGTCTTTTCCAACCTTGATTCTATGATTTTAATGTATATAATTGTCACCATTTGCAGCCTTCAAAGTTCAGAACTTCAGGCTTTTTGTAAAACAAACAAACCAAGCGTCTGAGGATAACTCAACAGAGGCTGAATTCTGTTTGCTGTCCTGAAAATCCAGTGTGTCCCTGGATTTCTTATTTACTAAAAATCAGAAGCAAGCAAGTTCTCTGCATAAATCCCGCGTTGCCCCAATTGTATGAACTGCCATCTAAGCCCTCTGGCCACCATCCAGGTCTGAATCACACTCCTGCACAAGCAGTAACCCATGCATTGCCTTCAAACCATCCTCTCCCATCCTTGATCCTCCTTCACCTCCCACCTGGCTCTCGATTAAATATTTTTAAAGCCCTTCCTTACCTGCATAGTGGTCAAACACAGTGGGCACGTACTCCTCAGGGAAGGCATCGTTGGCGTAGCTCATCAGCAAACAGGTTTTCCCAACGGCCCCGTCCCCAACCACCACACATTTTAACATCTTCTTGGTGCTGTTGCTGCTCCCATCAGTGCAGTTGTCACCTTCTGCCTTGCAGCTCATCCTTGCGTCTGCTGCCGCTGCTCCTGCTGCTCCCGGGGCTTCCAAGTGCACATGAAGGAGAAATGAAGTGCGATTGTATGGACTTTTTCCTGAGTTTGGAGTAGTTGGGGAAGGGGAGGGGGGGGGGGGGGGGGGGGGGGAAATCTCAAACTCAGGAAATCATACTAATGTTTCCAGGCTGTCACAGCTGCTTCTAACAATTACCAGAGCAGTCCAGAGAATCATTGAGGTGAATAGATTAAATTCACAGAGAGGAGTATCGTGAAAAAGCGATCTGTCCTTTCTTGTCCGTCCGAGTCAGGAAATCCTCATCCTGCCCTGCAGTTCTCTGTATTTATTGCAACTTAAAAAATATCAGCAGCCTGCGGCTTGGATTCGTGTCTGCCTTCCTCCCGCCTGGCTGCAGGAATCGGGGATTCCTGTTAAATCCACTCCATTTTCCATCTCATTTCTAACATGGAGGAGAGCCTGGAGGTTTTTAATGGAGTTTTTCCTTTCTTTCTCCAGCTTGCTGTGTGTCAGGAAATCATGGGTTTCCTGCTGAATTCCATATTAGGATCAGTGGGCTTGTGAAGGGCTGCAAACAATGGGAGCTCTGTGTGTATTTGTACTTTGGAGGAACTCTGCCAGGACGTGGAGAAAGAATAACACTAGAGGTCTCTCTGCAGACCAAAGTTTTTAGGCTTCCTGCTCCATCCCGTGCCCGGGTTGTTTTCAGGGCTGCCGGCACTGATTTGGACAGGGAGGATTTCAGACTGGGACTGTGGGGGGTATGGTGGTGCTGGGAGCCCTGTGCTACCCCAGTGGTGTCCTGGGCATGATACCCATATTGATGTTTTCTTACATGTGGGAGACAGGAGGGGATGTGGGAAAGAAGGCAAGAGGTACAACAAGTAGGGAGAGTTTAATGTGAATTTCCTCTGTGTTTATAGCTCTTAAAAAAAAAAAAAAAAAAAAAAAAAGACACAACAAAACAACAAAATTTGGTTTGTAATATCTAATCACTGATTTTTCAAGTCAAACACTCAGAATGTACCCCTGGCATTCCTCCTTGTCCACCTCCCCCCCAAAAAAAAGGAAAAAAAGCATTTTTTACCCCTATTATAACTGTGTAAGCAAAGAGAGAGAGGAAAAAAAATAAAAATTAAGAGTTGTGTTATATATTTATGTAAACTTTCCATAGCAGTATGTGGAAAAACAGCTTTGAACTGCATGATCCCTGCCCCCTCATCTCAGTTTTGTTCTGGCCTCTCACGTGCCCTCTAGCTTCTCTTGATTTAAATACATAGCAGTCTATACGTGGGCAAGATGAAGGGCCAAACTCCCTGCTCTTTCCACAAGAAAGATTTTGCATTTTCCAGCAGAAATGAGCCAGACAGACATCAACATAAACCCCAGCCCAGCAGCTCAGCACATCCTGCTGGCTGTGTTTCCCTTCCACAAGCTTAAAAGGCTTTGAAAGTGGGAAACAACCCCCACTGGGTTTCTAGGCGAAGCTCATCGGCACTAAAGGCTCCTCCTGCCTTGCTCGTGAAGTGCTCAAAAACTCACACAGCCTCTGGACCATGCACACCTGGAAATGTAAAGGCCAACACAACCTAAATAAGGGATCTCCTTAGCCCCACATCTGCATGCTGCCAGAGCTCTGCAGGGACCCAGCCCTATGATGGAACAGGCCCTCAGCACCTTCCCTAGAGGTGGCTGATGGATGAAAAAGGTGAATAAGGTTGAACAAGATTTGTCTTTTTACTCAGCCTTCTCTTACCAGGCATATCAGTCATTCAGTAATATATGCAGTATGTCTTATGGTCATTATCTTCTCCCTGCCATTCTCTGTTGACAACAGGGATCAGAGGAGAGAGCTTTAGACCCAGCATCACACCCACTGTCACAGGTCATCACTGCAAGCTTTCCGTCAGGAATTCAAGTGGCATCCTTTTAACTTCAAAACTACAGTCAATGGCTAAAGTTTACTCAACAAAACTTGTGAGCTCTGGGCACCCAAAGCCATTCTCCAAGCAGTTACTCTGGGTGGAATATCTCCCCCGGGGGAGAATCAGGAGTTACAGGGTGTCAGTTTTGAAGCTTGTAGCTGGGGCAGACTCCAAGTTTGTGGCTGGTCAGGTGTCACAAGGCCTTTGCTACCAACCCACTGATCTTTTGGGTAAGTTTGCCAGATCCATGAGCATGCACGTGCTGTTGCAAGGTAACTGCAAAGCTTGAGGCAGCAAGAAATTCCAATAATTCATGGTTCAGCTCCCAATTGCCTCCATCAGACAGAAACAACTACCTCATAGGCATAATTTATCTGCAAGCTTTTCTAGCATCAAATATATTTCTAGCTAAGGCAAGCCTTAATGCAAGTTAGTCCAGATTTAGGCTTACAACAGAATCCCCATAGCTCATTCCTCCCTCTGAGGCAGGGCTGTGTCGCTTTGACCACAAAGTTAGGCAGTCTCAGCAGGACTGTGTTCACTTCCATTTTTTTTTTGCAAGAAGGTAATGAAATTTCTTTGCAGATTTTCTTGAGGTTTGAGAACAAGTCTTATGGGGAGCGGCTGATGGAGGTGGGACTGTTCAGTCTGGAGAATAGGAGGCTCAAGGGAGATTTTATTACTCTCTACAACTCCCTGAAAGGAGGTTGTTGCGAGGTGTAGCGAGGTCTTCTCCCAGGTAACTAGTGACAGGACAAGTGGTCATGGCTTTAATTGTGTCAGGGGAGGTTTAGGTTGGATATCAGGAAAAAAATTATTGGACAGTAGCAAGGTATTGGAACAGACTGCACAGGGCAGGGAAGTGACAGAGTCACTGTCCCTGGAGGTGTTCAAGAAAAGGGCAGATGTCAAACTGAGTGCAGTGATTTAGTGGTGTGGTAGTGATGGGTTGATGGTTGGACTAGATGATCTTAGTGGTCTCTCCAACCTTAATGATTCTATGATAATGGAAGCATAGTCACTCATTAGATTCTAATGGCCTTCTTTGAAAAGGCTGACAAGATGAGTTTATCTTGAGGGTGAGGAACACTGACATCTTGCCCATATAGCTGTCAAATTCAGAGCTACAATTCCACCTTAGTTATATGGACGATATGTAGAGCTCCAGCAGAAATATGATAATGCTATAAGAAAAAGAGCTGCATCTGGACTAAAAGCCTGTGTTTTCTTCAACCTCATTACTTTATCTTCGTTTGGCATCATTCAGATCAGTTGGACCAAAATATTTTAAGAGCATGTTTTGTGGCAATAGCATACAATCACATTGGTTTATAATTTTCATTCAAGAGGCTGAGGAAACATTAACCCTTCTGCAACCTGGGTTGTGTCTTTTATTACCAAAGTCGGCACTGACTTTGCTGTATGAATTAACGAACCAATCTTCTTGTCTAGAAGTCTAACAAAGTTTGAGGCTACTTTGCTATGTTTTACAAAATACTTTAGGTTAAGCTGACCCTTGCATACTTGTACTGAAAGTTTTAGCTGGACTGAAAATGCTTCTGTGTAGCAGAGCTGCCTACAGCAGCATGGAATTCACAGAATTATTGGTTAGCAAAGCTCACATTTGGTGACTTAATCTGGATCCAGGGCTTATTTGCTCTTTCTGTAATCAAGTTAGAAAGTGTCAGATGTTCTCACAAGATTTCATTTTTCTCAACTCTCAAATCCAATAAGAGCTTGCTGGTTTCAAGCCATGAAGTTTGGAAATACATGCCTAAACTGAAAAAGTGAACCAAACGTGTGGTTCTCAGGTATCAAACCTATTTTTCTTCCCACTCATTTTACAAGCTTCTAGCCAAGACTATAATGGCCAGAAGCCTCCAAAGGAGGCCATAATAGAGACAGGCAGACATTATTAGCACTGTGGATTGAAGCTGTCACCTGAGGCACTTCCTAGCAAAGATTCTCAAGCCAAGAGCTCTGCTCCAGATGAAGTGCCTCTGACCTTTTGTTAATTAACAAATTAACTGGGAGCAGATCTATTCCCAGGACTGTGTAGTATTTCCAGCTCCCACATGCCTGCACGGAAACCTCAGCTTCATCTTCATCAGCTCAGGTCTGATGGGGCTGCCTGTCCAAGGAGCTGCTTCCTGAGGGATCAGCGAGTTCAAGGCCAGTGCAAGAAATTTCTGTGAGAAGGTCTGTAGAAGGTGAAAGACTTCCACATTTGTTAATTAGCTTTGCAATGAGCAGTGTGTTTGCCAATTAAACCCATTTTGCACTCTCTGCAGGCTTTCAGACAAGGAAAAAATCCATCTGTATCTTGCCCTCCCAGCTTACTCTCCCTGACCAAATCTGATGCTGCCACATCATTCCGTAGTGCCTCCTCTCATCTTTCTACATGTGTTCTTATAAGCTTAAAGCTTGTAAGTCAAAAGACTTTTCTCAGTTAACTATTTTGGTCGTCAAATCTGACCGCCTGGATCTGATGGGGACCTTATCTTCTATTGGGCCTTATCTTCCTTCATCATCACTTCTTGGCCTAAACTGGACAGATCTGTCCCTACATACTCACTCGTAGGAGGTAGCTCCATGGAGTGAAAGATTTTCAAGGTGATAGGGAGCTTTTCCTACTGTTAGAAACAGCCTTGTCCATCCTCCCTCCTTCCTCCTACCATCACTGATTTGGGAATGAAGTTTCTGGTGCTGCTGCTGAACTGTAGATTGACTTCAGGTAAATCTTCTCACATTTTTTCTTATCCTTTGTCTAATCTGTTGAGATTTTCAGAGTCTTTTGGGGCAAGGATTGTGATAATGTCTGAGCATAGCAGAACCATACTGAGCTTCATTATCACTGTGTAGTTCAAAGCCAGGTCAGATTCAGCACCTTTTCCAAACCGTGAGATGGTAAGAGCTAGACTCTTGCAATTAAATCAAATCAAGGGTTTAAGCATGCCTACAGACATGATATTCTCAGGAGAACCTTCTTAACCCCCAGTACAACATACATGAGTCTTGGGGTTGTTCTTCTTTGTTCTTTGACTGTTTGTGTGTGCCTCCACCATGTGCTAAGAATAATTAAAATGGAACCGTTGTTTTTATGTATTCACTCCATCCTCTCCTCCCTTTCCTCGTTGGCAGCTCCATCCATCAGCCTCCCACACTGGTGAAACTGTTGTTGAGACCTCCAGTGAATTTGCTCTGTAGAAGAGCAGAAGCCGTGAAAACAGGAGGAAAAAATAACAGTTTAACATTGACCACAGCAGGGATGGAAGTGCTGTGCGTGAAGCATTTTTAGAGGCAGCATGCTGAAGGGTAGGTGCTAAGGTTCAACTTTGAGGCTTGTTGAGTGAGAGCAGGCCTTCAAAACCACTGCACACCATCAGTCATGTTGCCACCACCACCCTGCATGGTGGTCCACACCAGCAGCAGGGCTTCTCCTGTTTTGTGCTGCTGCCGTGGATATAATTAGTGTCATTAGGTTTCCCTTTAGAAAGAGGAGCTTATAAAACAAATTACTTTTGGGAAATGAGGTCAAGCAAAGGATGATTCACATCCGGCTCATCAGAGTACCCTAATCTCTGAACTTGCTTCCCAAAGA